CGCGCTAAGTGGAAACCGCGCATCGTCACGAGGATTCTGCCGTGTTGAGGAAGAACGCCGTATGAGCCTTCAGGCGTTGCCAAATTTACTCTCGGAAAATATCTACTTTTGACGAAAGTTGTGAAAAATTCCCCCTCGAATTTTCACAAATTTTAGAATAAATTACGGACGAAATTCTCTGAAAAATCGGAAGGAAAATATTTCCAAATTTTTCCGAAAATTCGTGATTTGTCGAAGGAATTTTGGCAACGTTTGAAGGCTCATACGGCGTTTTTCCTCAGCACGGCAGGATTGCGTTCGGATTTAGGCGGTAGTCGGTGGTCGCGGTGTTGCTGCGACGCTGCAGGAGGGCCCAGGATCGAAGTGGGACATCACCCCCCGCCTGGCCCCGTCGATTACCCCAGCGGGCACCCCCCCCCCCCCNGACAGGTCCATCAACCTTGGCATTGCCAGATTTGGGTCAGGGGTTGTGCAGTTATTACCCGTCATACATGGAGTCAACCCGATTCGCGTCCTTCCCGCCACTTTATCTGTCTGGCACCTAATCCTCGTTGCGTGTCGTCGCTCCGAGAGCCCCCGCCCGACCGCGGCAGGTCGCCGTAAGAATCCGTGGTGGGAATAGGGATAGCGCCAGTGCGCCACAGCGTTGCCGGATTGCGTTGAAGAGCGGAGAAAAAAACTCGCACTCAAAAATGGACCGCGTTAAGGTGATTCGTCAAGCTCAAAAGAAGTGGCCGAACTGGCATGCGATATAACGCATCTTTTAGGTCAAAAATCTCGGCAGATTTTGAATTTTTAGCAAAACAAAGAACGATAGCCTGGTCCGCCTGGTGCCCACTTTCTGGGGCCCTTATGGGCGCATTTCTGGGGCCCTGGGGCTTTCGGGGTTCATTTTTCGTCGAAAATATCTCAAGAACACGGAAAAATTTTCAAATCAGAGATTTCAGAAACCAATTTTCCAGATTTGTCTGAAGACATCAATGGTTCAACAGTACACACTCTTCTCAAATACACCGAAAAGTTTGACCTGAAATTTCGTTTTTTCAACTTGAAATAAGACTTTTGGTGAGATGAAAAAACGAAATTCCAGGTCGAGCTTTTCGGTGAGTCTGAGGAACAAGAGCCATGACTTACAATTCTTCAATTGGCTTTTAAAGTAGTCATCAGCATGTGTTGCACAAATTGGGCAGCACTACAATGCTCATACGTTGTTTCTGCAAGGAATGGCTCTCCCTAATATACCGGAAAAGTCAAGAGCAGGAGTGTAAAGAGGTGATTTTTGCAAGTTGGCAACATTGGTTTCCTCCATTTCAATCCATTCGATACAATTTGTTCCAACTGTGGTAACCTGTTTCGATGTGTTTCGACTGTTTCACATACGTTTAAAGGGATCAAAGCGCAGTGTGACCACCTCAGAGGAGTCGCGAAGGGCGTCGCGATCAGCGGCGTAGCGTGCTTTGCGATGTGTCGATTGATGGGTCATTTAAACCTACGGAAAAGGATCGATAAACAGGGTGCTCGCAGCGACCACCTTAATAATCGATTCTTTACCATGGGTTTAAGTGGCATAAAAATCGATAGATCGAAATTCACACCCCGCCTATGGTCGCGATATTCACTTATGCGCCTTGCATACTCGCAATAATTGATGGTCTACAAAGGGAGGCATGAGTGTAAGTTTGCATGATCCGTGATAATATGCGGTATAGTCTATGAGGAGTATGGTGCGGCAAGGCAGCGCTGAGCAGGCAGTCGAAATATATGAACATTTCATTGCATTGTGTCGTTCACATGCGACATTTTTATATTGGCTCGTGGTGAAATAAATTTATGTGATGCTTTTTGGGATATAGTGTTTTATTGTCCGAGTAGACATTTATCAGATAGGTAAACCACTCAACGATTGCATTTCAGTGGCGTGGCGTGAATGGACCACTAGACAAGATACGAATTTCAGCATTTTGATTTATGTTTCGTAACCAAAATTTCACATAAAACACGATGCGCCTAAGAAAAATGACCGAAATCAACTCCTTACGAGGATATTTAATGATTCTTGATGCGTGAATTCAAACCACCCGCTCATGAAAACTCAATGCTCTACGTGATTCACATAGCGCGCTAAACGTTATCATGACAGTCTCTGCGATATAAAAATCAAGCAACCTCAATCTTGTCGCTTTGGCTCAGCTATAGCAAATTGCTTAGAGTTTGAACAAAATATGGTGGGAAATGAACATTGCTCGATTGAGAGGATAGCTGAAACCGTTGTAGTGCGCGATTTGACTCACGGAGAGCTTTGAGTTTCTTGTGAGCGGGTAGTTCAAATTCCTTGTAACCAATGTGAAATAAAAACGTTAATATCTTCATAAGGAGTTGGTTTCAGTCATTTTCGTTGCGCAAATCGTGTTTTGCGTAAAATTTTGGCTAAGAAGCATGTATCAGAATCCTTTAATTCGTACCTTGTCTAGTGGTCCATTTCGATTTATCGATTGTTATGCCATTTAAACCTATGGAAAAGGATCGATACACGGGGTGTTCGCAGCGAACACCCTGATAATCGATTCTTTACCACGGATTCAAATGGGTAATAATCGATAATCGATCATTCACGCCACGCCACTGTAAATTCCCCCTCGATTAAAGTACACCAAGATAATTACCTGGCAAATACAGTCGCTTTAACGCTGAAGTGACAAAATCAAGAAAAAACATCTCGACTGTGATGGTATCATTTTTTCGCTCCCATTTTTCCAAGAGGAAAAAAAATAAGAAATATTTAGTAATGCTTGTATTTGAGAATGCTCTTGAGATTTCACAGATTGAAAATGAATGGTTCTCTTTCAATTACAGTAAGACGTGATTGCAACGTCACAAACCGTGATATGAGTTTTAACTCTTCAAATATTCTAATTTTCTCTTACATTCTCATTTACCAACAACTTGCTTACCGACCAACCCACCCCCATTGATGCAATGGGGGTGGAGAAAGGCACATAAAGTCGGTCAAAATGCCATACGTTATTCATGAACGACTCCAAACAACGTCTAAGTTTTAACTTGAACGGACTTGTTGACACTACCGCACTCGTCAGGTAACAACGAGGCTCGTTCTTAAATCCATCGCGCTAAGGAAAAACGCCGTATGAACCTTCAGGCTTTGCCAAATTTCCTTTGGTAAATTACAAACTTTTGGGAGAATTCGTGAACATTCTTCCTCCAATTTTTCTGATAATTTAGTTCTCAATTTCGACCGAAGCTCCTGAAAATTTCAAGAAAAAATATTCATAGCTTTCCTCAAAAATAAGCATTTTGTGAGAGGAAATTTGGCAACTATCGAATGTTCATACGGCGTTTTGACTTAGAACGGCAGTAATACGAGGCTGCGGTCCTGCAAATAAATCCGGGGGTAAAAAATGAGAGTTCTCGATTTCACGGAGGAGATAGTGTAACGAGGATCTCTCTCGGGCAGAGCTCTTCCGCATGACAAGGGGACGCGGGGCGGTGGGGGGGGGGGGGGGGGGGAGGAGTCACGTAGGACGACGCCGGCGGAGAAAAAAGTAAATAACAGGGGTAGGCACCAACTTCGAAGGGTAGGCATCGAGAACTTTGAAAGGCGAGAAGTCCGGGAGCCACCCGCGCACAGTGGGTCGAGTCGATAGGAGAGGTCGGACAAAATTCGGAAACTTTAAAAGCTTATAACTCCGTTTATACAAAATTTTGAGGTTCTAAAAGTGATCCCATTGGTTATATCATGAAATTTTCTTCTTATAACACCCCTCATAATGTAAAATGTGACCAGGGTGTCTACTAAAACAGGCTGGCCAAAAATCAGTACTTTTACAGTACTTTTCCAGCCCATTCCTGAAAAATCCAGTACCTCCTCATAAGAAGAATTCAGTACTTTTTTAGTACCTCCAATTGACGAAATTCGAAAATTTTCAGAAATTTGAATTTCTCGCTCGAATTGTGACAGAAATGACGAAAATTCCGGACCTTCTCGCGAAATTCCGCACTTTTCCAGTACTTCCGGGCCGCCCTTAAAAAATCGTTACCATATCCGGACTTTCCAGAAATTCCGGACTTGCAGACACCCTGGTGACGAAATAAACATCAAAAGGGCGGTTTTAGTCAAAAATTTCATATCCGACCTCTCTGATTGACTCGATCCACTGTGCCGGGTTGCCGCACCCGAGATTTGAATCGGCAGGGACTCAGGGAGTGCACTCATAGTTAACCTTATTGGCTAGTCTGACTAGTTGGGGTACAGAACACAAAAGTGAGAGCGGCGCTTTTAACAATTTTTAGATTGTAGGTCTAAAAAAAAATGTTTCACACAAATCAAAAGATCTCGCATATCTCTCCTCCAAAAGGAGGGCCCATTCGTTGGTTTAAGTTTACAATACATCGATTGCAGGCAACTCACTGGCCTTGAATCCAAAACCCTCGTGAAAGGATCTTGGCAGTGGCATGGCGTGCATTGCGATAAATCGATTGATCTGCCATTTAAACCTGTGGAAAAGGATCGATTATCAGGGTGTTCGCAGCGAACACCTTGATAATCGATTCTTTACCATAGCTTCAAATGGGGAAATATCGATATATATCGAGGCACGCCATGCCTTTGGATCTTGGTACGCACAGCATACCTGCGGGGCGATTATTGAAACTGATAGACGAAGCTGACGAAGCTATATAGACAAAGACGACAAAAGGGATTTGAAGGGATCCTATCGGTGGAAGCAGGTGGTGGCAATGGACATAGGAGGTAGGTAATGGAGTAACTAACGGCAACCCACGAAAGACCCGACAGTTAGTCCATCATTTTCTTCCTTAGTCTATAGGAACCAACCATGTCAACCAATAAGATTGCTCCGTAATCCCTATGTCTTCTATGTCTATCGCTTTGTCCATGAGTTTCAATAATCCCCCGCTGAACGAGTAATCGTTCTCGTCTGAGAATGATAACAAATTAATGAGTGGTAATTTTTCTCACTTACTTTGGGATATCTCCAATTCTGGGCGGGCGGCTGCCTGCCCGGCAGGTAGCTGAGTGGGAAGTCACCGTGATACCGTTGTCTCCGACCCAGTTAAAATTCACAGCTAGAGAGACAGAAAAATAAAAATCAAGTTATTGTCAGATTCGTGTGAAAAAAAAAATTGATCAAAGGTGCCAAAGGAAAATGAGAAAACAATAAATGAACGTATTCCACACGACATTAAACAGTTTGCATGATTCTGTAGTTTGGGGTAAGAGGGTAATTCCTGACATTTCTTTTTTTAAAAGTCGAGTTGTTCGTACATCCTCAACATGCTTAGAAAAGGCTCTTGAGTGTGACAAAAAAATTGTTAGTTGAATTCATCATCAAGCGCGAGATGGAATATCTACTTCGAACAGTGGCAAGGCGTGAATGATCAAATATCGATATTTCCCCTATTGGAAGCTATGTTAAAGAATAGATTATTATATAAAAAAAACACATTGGATCTAGAGTCCAGGCTCTTGAAAACATTGACAAGAAAAAATGCTCTTGATTCAATCGGATTTTTGCTTGAATCAAAACGAAATCCGCTTAAATTAAGAGGCTTGATTCTTGATTTAAGCTAGATTCTGATTGAATCAAGAGTACCTTTTCTTGTCGATGTTTTTAAGAGTCTCTAGATCCCATGTGTTTTTTTCCGGTGTGTTCGTTGCAAGCCCCCTGTTATTCGATCCTTTTCCATAGGTTTAAATCACAGATCAATCGATATATCACAAAGCACGCCTCCCCACTGACTTCAAATCGGAAAAATGGATCAAATAAACCCGCATCCTCCGCAATTTCTTTGAAGACGAATCAGAATCCACTAATATACATAAACAATACATTTGAAAAAAGGCAAACCGTTTCCATGGAGATTTTTCTGATTAAATGCGAGTCAATACACTTTATGAATGCTCGGAAAGCGGAGGATGCTGCACGGCAATTTTTGATACAAATATTTGAACTCAGTCGTGAGCGGTGCGGTATCACTCGAAACTGAAGGCGTTTTCGACTAGTGACAGCAGTTTGATGTAGCTTACAACAAAGCGTGCTTCGCGTAACTGTAACCTGCATCTCTCCCGTCATTTCTTCGATGACGAGTCAGAACGAAGCTCAAACGGATAAGGGGCAGCAGCGAGGCATGATTGATCGAATTTATCGATAATTCCCAATTGAAGCTATGGCACAGAATCGACTATCGATGTGTTCGTTGCAAACACTCCGTTTATCGATCCTTTTCTATAAGTGTAAACGGCAGATCAATCGATATGTCGCAGGTAAATAGTGAGATCAGGCATTTTGTCAAATGCCTAAGCAGATAGTTAAACTTTGACGGTCTACAAAATGTTGTGAATTCATGGCGAAAAGCTTACGAGTTTTCACTATTTGTGGAAAAATAACTCATCAAACCCTCGAGCTCTTTTTGTCTCAATCTCTTCGATTGCTTCTCATATTATATTTAAATTTTGAAATTCCGAAAATTCTGTATTTCATGACATGCTAAAAATGTTTGGATTTTTACTGCAAATTTTTACTGAGAATTTTTTCTTGCAGGAGTAATAGATTATTTTGTCTAAAATTATGGAAAAGAATCAGAATTTCAATCTAAGTTAGAATATTTGACTATTCGCCTAGGCATTAAACAAAATGCCTGATTTTACTATTTACCTGCGACTGATATATCTACATCGCAAAGCACGCCACGCCACTAATATGGGGAAAGCGCCCACTCGACGCTGTCTCCTTATAGCAGTGGCGTGGCGTGCTTTGCAATATATCGATTGATCTGCCATTTAAACCTATGGAAAAGAATCGATAAACAGGGTGTTCGGAACGAACACCTTAATAATCGATTCTTTGCTATAGTTTCAAATGGAAAAATATCGATAATCGATCATTCACGTCTCGCCACTGCTCCTTAGATGAGTCTGAAATCCGAGTGAAAAGAAAGTCCTGAGTAAAATGTCAGATTAGTGGGATTAGGAATTTATTGTCCTCCGCGGGAGGTACGATTGAAAAGAAGGAGCATCCTCTGATGGCAAGAATGCTTTTTAATTCAATTTGTGAACTTGCACCGTAATTATATCCTCACGCTGAGTTCGCCATGCTGCCAAATGTATGAAAAAGCAGCAAAAAAAGTTGTGCACAGAGAAAAATTTCCCGGAGTACTTAAAAGACGACAGGGCGGACATCCTGATAGTATTTTCCCCGTTGGAATTCTTTTTGCGACGACTGGAATTGCCGTTGTGCCAATAGGATTCTGGTTATCGTATAATAAGTATACAGGTGCTACACTGGAAAAAAACACATTGGATCTAGAGTCCAGACTCTAGAAAACATTGACAAGAAAAAGGACTCTTGATTCAATCAGATTTAGTTTAAATCAAAAGGAAATCCGCTCAAATTAAGAGGCTTGGTTCTTGATTCAAGCTAGATTCTGATTGAATCAAGAGTACTTTTTCTTGTCAATGTTTTTAAGAGTCTGGACTCTAGATCCAATGTGTGTTTTTTTTTTCCAGTGTACTATTGGAGCAACAAAAATCTTCATTGCGCAGAAAAAGAGACTTAAATCTGATAAAAATATAAACATGATGTCTTGCAGGGACTCTGAAATTATTTCTCTGTGTGTGCGACAATGGTGTGTGTATCAATGGACAAGGTCTGATCTAGAAAAGAATGTCGCATGTTTTCACATCAAAATGTTACGCAAAAAACTGTTCACAAAACGGGAACTTTGAAAATCAACTCCATAAAGAAATATTGACAATTTGTTTCAACAGGGATCAAATGGGAGTTGGATTATATAAGTGACGTCATTTGGATCGCATTTGGCAAAAAGGAACCAGCGCAGCAGTATATTACAGTGTTGTAAAAATATTGCTCCTTCATATAAAAAGCCACCTAGAATAGCAAATAGTTTTGACTTTTCACCAAAAAATTGTTAATTTTGAAGGTAAATAACTCTATCGGTAAATTTTAATACTGTACACACACTAAGTATTTTTTAAAAAAGAATGGAGAAGTTGCACGATTTTGAAAACACTGCACTTTCGCTGGCTCCTTTTTGCTAACTACGATCCATTTGTATTTTTGCCATTTTACCAATGTTAATTGAAAAACTCATATCTTGGTTAGCAGTTGATTTGCAAACTTTCCGTTGTGTAATTCGTTTTCCTCCTGAAATCTTGAAGAGAAAACATGTGGAGAAAACATGTTGCGTAGTGATTTAATTCATACACTGTCTGGAGGCCCATTGTGTCACACGAACTTATGTTGGTGCTTCATCCTGCTAACAAATTATTGATCCTAATGCTAATATGTGACTTTCCTCCAGTAAAGTCACAGAAATTTACGTTAAAAACATTGATAATAGAACGGAGAAAATTTTCTTATGAAAATGTTGGAACAAAGAGCTCCCAAAATTTCCAACCAAAGCGGACTCATGGTGCTCTCAACTGGTGATTTCAAGAAACGTGTTAGTTCTTTCTAATCCCTAAAATCAGCTAATCCATTCTTCAAAAGTCAGGATTAAACCATTATTATGACGGGAAAGTGCCTCGTTGTGATTGCACGATGATTGACTTGAAGTTATCCTCTTGTATGTATGCACAATCCATACAACCAAATTCGGTAATCGCTATCAGCCTGACACGATTTCCCAAGTTTTAACAACGTTAAAAAAAAGTTCCTAATTAATTAACTTGAAGAGATAGTCCGTGGATAAAAAAACAGCTCAAGATTGTGTAAACCACAAAAATGTAATGACATTGAAAAACCAATGATTACAGTATCTTAGGTTATCAGACGCGTTCACGCAACCATTTTCGGATTCAGATTAACAGCGGGGATCCACTCCATATTACGAGACACAGAGAAGAGGGTCTTGAGTTTAGTCATCAGCTGAGCGTAAAATCAGTCATTGCCCAGTTATTTCTTTCAGACGGGAGGGTTGGTGATTTTACCGACGAGCTTTAAAATTCAGTAAAAAACTGCAATTCTCATTAAAGAGGGAAAAAGCTCATTTGAGCACAAATCCCCCCCCCCCCCCCCCCATAGAGAATTGCTGTTTGGTGCTACACTGGTTATGACTAGTCACAACCGTTACGATACGGCCAACGAAACGGCCTTTGAGCCAATTAACACTTTTCTTAGGGGAAAATTGTGATTGAATGAGCTTTTTCCCTTTGTAGTAAGACTTTCAGTTTTATACCTACTGAATTTTAACGCACGCAGAAAAAATTACCAACTCTCCAGTCAAAATGACTGTCGTGCATCAATCCGCATTTATTTGGGCTATTATTTCAATTCTTTTAATTTCTTAATGACATTGTTATATTCTACTAAACTCCACTTGTGTTTCTTTTCTACAGAGCTAAACACCAATTTTCTATCTGTTAAAACATGCAAATAATTAGGTAGCAAAATCTTCAACATTGATTCAAATTGTAGTACCAAAGCCCTGGCCCTGTTAGCTTTTGGTATTGAATAGAAATACATTATGGATTACCGAGCACCGCACAATGTCTGCTTTATGTCACTCTGGGTTCATTGTGGATGGTGTTGGATAATTCCAATCGGCAAGTTATCGGGTAGTGTCGATAACATTTTCTACTCTCTTTTATTTCCGACGATTTTTATTTTATACTGTCTGAATTATTTTAACTGTATACCCTCATATTCCAGAAAATTAAAATTCAAGTTTGGCAACACATTCTTGCTGGCTTCTGTGAGTCACTTAAATGAATGGTGGCAAATTTCGTTTCTGATGTCTTCCCATTCGTTGTTTTTGATCAATTATTCCAGCCGCTGTTCGTTTGCTCACTTCTGCTCTGTTTCATTATGTCATCCTTTCAGACTTGTTTGGTTTTATTTTTCCGGTACTGTTTTCATTCACGTGTTTGATTGCGGACTTTAGAATGAATAATTCAATTGACTTGCGGTGGAAAAAATAAGGTCGGCGGAGGACTGTCTCTCATAATTCTTATTTTCACGTCTGATCGAATGAAATAAAAAATAATAATAAAGTTCATTTTCGTGTTTCAAAAGGTGAAGGCGCTCAAGGAGACTAGACTGAATCAA